GCGCGCACTGATAAAAGTGAAGAAAGGCTCCAAGAAACAAATTGATGTTTGTATATATATATGTAATGATCTAATCCAAAAGGAGATGGTTTTGTTTTCTGTGTCAGTGTCATAGAGCGAAAAGTTTTGAAGTTACCGTTGAAAGAGTTAAGCTTTCTCTGTACGGGTTTTATGGATTAGTTACCGTTGGAAGCGATGGATTTTTATATCTCAGTCAATGTTCAATGTAAATCTAACATTTGTTTTTTTTGCTAATGAATAATGGATAATCTTCCATCTTTGGAGTTTTTATCAACCCAAATGGTAACATATCCGAATTTGATTTATCACCGAAACTGTTCGAGTTATTTTATATTCGTTTTTGACCAATTTTCAAGGGTCAGTAATATTTAACAAATTAACATTTGCTATGTATAAATGTTTTTCATAGAAACTGAATTATGTTATGTAATTTTATTTTAGAGATTGAATTACTAATTATGATGTTTTTTAATAAATACAATTTAGTTATTTTGTTCAATGTTTGAGTTTGACCATAATCTCTTATGATTAGTTGTCAGTTCAACATTCACCAACAAGTCTCTTTTATTCATGATTTTAGAAACAAGAATGTCAGAAGTGAACAATTAAGATTCTAATAACAAAATAAAAATATAAAATTGATTGGTCTACTTTCCATGCTGCCCTTAAACCAAAAAAATAAAACTGTTTTGATGCTTTTTCACTTTGGTAACAGTATATATTTTGTCAATTAGCTAGTCAATAGTCACAATATATATTTGTTATAATCATAATGTTTTACATTAATTCATACTGTTGACAAAAGGAAAAGATCACTAGTAATGCATTTCTAATATGACACATGAAATATTCGATTACATCACTAGACTTTGATTTATCGGATGCTTTAATAAAGTACAAATCATCTTTAACAACTTTTGTTATTTCACTTTCTCCACTGAAATAAATAAAGCAACAATGAAAAAGCATGCAAGTGCAACGTTCAACTCCTTAATTATAGTATATAATTTTCAATGAATTATGAGAACCGGATTCTATAAATGTTCTTTGTCATAAAGGAAGAAGCTTAGCCATAACTTGAACATGAAGGAAGAAACGGTCTTAATAATATTGTTTAAATTCTAAATATACTAAATTAATTCGACCAAAAAAAAAATACTAAATTAATTGAAAGAAGAAAAAAAAATGTGATAAGGAATTAAGGATCATACTTTGAGTTTCTTTTACCTTCTTTAGAATAAAGCAGAGTCCTTTGTGAATATTTCTTTATTCGTTTTTTCTTTTCTTTTTTATTATCTTGGTTTTAAATTTGCAGAGAGACAAATAG